ATTTGTATGAAATAAAATCAGATTAATTACATAGTAAATTCATTGTAACCAATATCGCTTACCAATAATGAACAATCGGTTAATGATTTGAAAGCAGCAACCAAATAAGCAGAAGCACGTAGATTGGCAGTTTGACGACGTGTGTAAAGATAGTTGAATAATTTGACTAGTTTGTTCTAAAAAAAGAGACAATAATTTAAGTAAATATATTATTGAAAAAAAATTATTTTAAGAGTAATAGATTCAGTCAACGTGTAGTATTGAATCAGAATTTTAAATATTTATTTAGTAAAGTAAAATAACAGACTTAGAATCAGTTTGTTATATTGAAGGTCAGTACAGAGAAAACCAACGTCGATGTTAACACTCCCGTTGCAGTAATCTCAGAGAGTGAAATTTAAAGGAGTTTAACAATTCATCCGGTAACATCATCAAGACAAACAGACAGACAGATACAACGTAAGTACATCAGTTTAGGTTGCCATGCCCCATCAGCACAGAGACGCAACTGTCAGTTCAAATGCAAGAGTGATAACAACAATAGAAGTATTAGCAGTAATGGAGAAGATCAGGGTTTGAAAATGTTATTCGAGAAGTATAATTCAGTGAGATAAATTTAGAAAGAGAAAGGTAGAGATTATGAGGAATGCAGAAGCTTAGAATTTCATAGAACACAAAGAGTGGATGTACCTGCGCCATTGCAAACGATTCTGAGCCATGTCATTTAAGGTCTCTAACCATCGGTGACTGTCGTCTCGCGGTCCCCAATCAGGTAGCCTACATCTACCAACATGACTCTGAGGAAGCTTAAATAAGTTTGCTGAGTGAAACGTAGAAATTATATAAATTCTAATCGTTAAGATTATTTAAAAATATAATGTTTACATGCAGTGTTCTCAACACATTTAGCGCCTGATCTTTGTAGGAAATGTTAGTTCAGATTTTGAGGAATGTTCGTATAAATAATTTAAGGATGAACTTGTTACATATACTATGCTTTAATTGAGTAGTGAGTGATAAGGTAAACATTGTATTGAGTTAACTGTCTAGTCAATCTAAACAGAAATAGATATTTTTCTAGTCGCTATGATGTTAACAGAAAACGGAATATGATTAAATATAGTGACAGTGTTGATTATGTCATTCGCGAAAACTGAATATAAATGTTATTGAAAAAATTTTAAGATTACCTCAACGCTCTTTGGAACCTCTCCGTATGCAGTAAGAAAGTCAACAATACTTTTCGCAACAAATGATGTTGTGTATAAGCCTTTTTCATACTAAAAAAAAATGTTAAAATAAACACAAGCTCATGAGGATAGCACGAATAAGAAGAGTCTATACAACGAAAATTTAGGTTCTATAACAATCTACTAAGATATATTCATGGTTTATTTACTTGAAAGTAAAAATTCTTTATTAGATGAGACACTCTAGACTGTATGAATTGAAACAACTGTAATACTCCATCCATGGATAAATAACACACTAGTAGGTACTAATGAAACAAGTTTAAATTACTACCATGAATGAATAACAAGAGGTGGTGATAGAAAAACTGTATTAAAGAACCAGGTATCTCCAGGACTATATGATATACTATTTTCCAGACATAATTCAATATTAAATGATTTGGATAATCCCATTGTTGATATTTTGACTGCCATTTGATCAGTCTCGGAGTGAACATCAACTCTGAAATGCAAGTACATCCAGTTTGACGAGTTCCGGATAGGACGAAAGACGCGTCCTGGACTTAAACTTCTAGTCACATTTTCTATTTTATATTTTCTAGGTAGCTGTAGTATTGCCAGATAATGTTTGTTGTGTAAGTGGTTCGTGGTACTTTTAAACCGAACTTTAACTATAGCAAAACATATGCCCTTGCGAATCATCATTAGAACAATATAACTATCACATCCTAAAACTGAGATACTATACAGAACGACATTCAAAAACATCAGACTCTGGTTTTGTTGGACTATGGGGTCGATGTTTTTACGGCAATACGATGATAGTACTAATTTACTTTTTGTTTTGCTTCCTACCAAATATTCACAATCAATACATTCAATAGTATAAACATCCAGTGTTATTCAGAGCAATATTCAGTGTCAATAGGATAAAGCCATAACTTTAAATGATATGAAGAAAAATAAACATGCAGAAAATTTCAATGTCAGCAGCTGTGACTTAATGGTTAAACCTTTGACTTTCAACCAATATGCCACAGGCTCAAACTTCAGTTTAATATACAGTACGAAATCGACTTCGATTTATCTATGTGTGTTTAGTGACTTATTTACGATGTTCTGAAAGTTTGTAAATTATGCTAACAAATCTGCACTGACTCAAGTTACCACACTGCAGCGATCGCTAAAACGAATACAAAAGTTGTACGACAAATTATGCATACAGAATATGATTAGAGAAGGATTTGAGAGACAAAAGATACAAATTTAAGATCTAGGAATCAAAAGAAATAAAAAGTAGATGGATTTGGGCCATCGCGACCGATTGTGAACCGTCACTTAATGTCTTCCATGGTCGGTCACGATAAAATGGAATATGTCAACTTAGAACGACACATAGTTGTGGTACACTTTAGGGCTTTTGATGCACTGGAAAAAAAAGTGACTTACAAAGAGCTGATTATCACTAATTTCATTTGCCTGGTCCAGAACTTTATCTATACTAGATACGTAGCCATTCATATCTGATTTCGTCAGACCAAGTTGATGTACGATTTGTAAAACAAAACTCAACCTAAAATTGAAATAATAATATTAGTATAAAAAGTACAAGGTAAACTCCTAATATAAGAAATACAGGGAGCTACTAGCAAGACGTATGTTTAACGTTGAGCTAAGTTTATTTTATTGATTAAACTATCAAAGATGTGAAACCAAAATTAAGATGAAATTAGGAAAATGGCAGCTTAAACTTCTTCAGTGAATAAAATTCAAACACTGAGAGTAGCGATTTTCAGTTAGCAAACAACCGATAATTTACAGAACGACTGCGACTTGATTATCAAAAAGCTTGGTTTTTTATACCTGTATTGAGAATAAACACTTAGCAGTTATGCTTTTCTAGGTTTCTTTATCCCGCCTTTTGTAGTCATATAATGAGAATGAATTTGGTTAAGTTCAACGGGGCACATCACACGCAGCACATTGCAGTACTCAAAAGTCCACACACCAACAAACAATTGAGGATAATTTTAGACACTACTACTAGTCAATGATTAAGGACAGAAAATGGATCACAAGATATAATCTTTCATGTACACACTCAAAAACTAAATACAGTTAGTCGATTATGCACTGAACATCTGACGCAGAAGATAAGTTCGCGAGTTTTTGCCGCACTAACTTGACGGCAGAATTTTTTCAAGCTAGGAGTATGAGAAAAGTCACAGTACACAATCACAAAGTCAGTTGACTGATAAAATGTTTTAAGTTAATGAAAAACCACTTACGTCATTGGGCTAGTATCTGTGGTCTTTATTTTGCTAATTATTGAAGTAACACGGTTAGCGTCAACTAAAGAAGAAGATATGAGTATTGAATGAATACTAACTTTTAATTTGCAAACTTTTCATAGATGAAACTAGATAAAACAGATTTTCAATTGATATATCTTCGGTCAACAACTGCTTGGACAACTTCTCAACCTCTGAACCTGATACCTAAAAAACAATTTTAAGGGTAGAAAAGATTTGGATAGAAAAAGAGTTAAACAGAACAGTGGAATGTAAATATATACACATATATACGGTAACCTTTGGTGCTTGGATGTTAATCATGAAAGTCTTCACTATCCAAGTATGTGAAGAACTGTCAAGTGGTCCTCAATGGTTCGAAATATACTTAGATAAAGACCATTATGAGCCAAAACATTTTAATAAGGCCCACTTAAGAGGGGAATATTCATAGGCAAGTAAAGCCGAACGCTTTAACTCATATATTATCGATCTCACGTCTTAGACACACGCGTGTGTATCGAGAAAATTAAGTATATCGAAATACTAACGACTGAATAGATGGTGTTTACCAGCTGGTTTCCTATGACACAATTATGATAGTTAATTACTCAACCAACGCAACGTAGAAGCTAAAATAAGGTGACACTTCAGACTGTCAGAGAGCTGAAATTGTGTGGGCTGGATTGGAAAATGTTAAGATACACCAACCTACTTCAGTAACTTCATAAAGCCATGTATATGGATGCTTTAGAACCAATAAGATCTACGAAAAGGTAGGGACTATGTAGGACGATGGGTAACAAGAACTACCATTAGAAATTGTGCAAATTGTTGTGGGATTCAGTTAGTTTGCATAAGTAACTGTAAAGATGGAAATTAATGTATGAAAGCTTGACAAAATAGAAAAAGGTCACTTATTTGCAGCACATAACCAGACAAATGAGCATTGATTTAGGCTTCCATGTTGCATTAAGGTAAATTGAATGATATTTTACAGACAAAATTCTTAATCGTATATGACGGTTAAGTTACTGGATGAACATCCGAGGGGAAGGGGTGGAAATCCATTACAATACTACTCGCCACTCTACTTTTACAGAAATGTAAGAAACTCATGAATAAAAATAAGTTGGTTTAACAATGACAATTACCAATGAATAAAGTTCGAAATTCTCACCTTACACTTTGCGGTGCCAATGAGTTTGTGCAGCGAACTCATATAGAATGCCTCTTCTGAGTTTGATATGGGCTTGTTTAGGGTGGAACAGGCAGAATCTGCATTAGGAACCCTTTCATTAAGGGAATGAAGACCTAATATGGCATGGTAAGTCTTAGAAATATCAGATGGCGATTCATTAACATGTGTTTCGAAAACCGAACGGAAATGGCTCTTGTCACGAGCTGATACGGAGCCAATGAATAAAGCATCACTTTGAACGTTCGGGTTATTTTTAACTACTGATATGCAGGCAAATAACACAAATGCAGCAATGAACATTTGTACAAACTGCGCCACAACGAACGTAACAGTATGCAGAGCGGGTGGACAGTTGACGTATGCAAGTTGGTGCGTATAAACAACTTCCAATATCAATATCCAATATATTTATCATGGGCCAGTGTAAACCAACTGGTTTCTTTGTGCCGGTTTATTTTCCTTTAGGTACCGTCCCAAGCATTAAGCAGTGTTCAATCGATACAAATGTAAAGACAGTTCTACTGTATGGAGCGGAAACTTGGAGAACTACCAAAGCCATCATCCAGAAGATACAATTGTTTATTAACAGTTGTCTACGCAAAATACTTCGGATTCGTTGGCCAGACACCATCAGAAACAACGAACTGTGGGAGAAAATAAACCAGATTCCGGTGGAGGAGGAAATCAGGAAGAAGCGGTGGAAGTGGATAGGACACATACTTCGAAAAGCACCTAACTGCGTCACATGACAAGCCCTCACTTGGAACCCTCAAGGCAAAATGAACAGAGGAAGGCCAAGGAACACGTTACGCCGAGAAATAGAGAAAGACATGAGAAGAATGGACAAAAATTGGACAGAATTTGAAAGGGAATCCTAGGACAGAGTTGGTTCGAGAAAACTGGTGGGCGGCCTATGCTCCTTTGGGGGTAAAAGGCGAAAGTAAGTTAGTAAGTAAGTAATCGATGGTGGTCTAGCCACCAGTTTTAGTCACTTAACTGTTGTTCGTGAAACTGTGTCCCTTGATTTGAATGAGTACGTTTGTTCCAGGGCAGTATGGTTTCTGAATACCAGCAACTATCCCACCAGCAAGCCGGATATCAGTTAGTTGCAATGAGGAAAATAAAAGGGAGGAAACTCTAAAGATTCCAGAACTAAGTAAATAAATGGATAAATATGTTAAAATTAACTGGTAATGAAGACTGTGCGAGAGGGCGGAAGTGTAAGCGAGTGAAAGCAAACAGAGATAATAAGAGAGATAAATTGAGTGATTTGAGGAAATGACAGTAACAGCGACTTGCAAGTTTAGATACATGCATCAGACAGATGGTCCAAGAGGAAAACCGTAAATCATAAGTGAGTACGTGCTTATGAAGTCTCTTTGTGAAGCTATCGGTTGAAGGGACTGTGATTATCCCAGAGAGCATTTAAAGTCTCAAAAACTTGTAGTGGTATACTTTTACGAAGATAACGCAGTTCCTGAAATGGAAACATTTATAATCGTACTTAATTCTGACAATAATTGTTATATTGTACTCCTTTTGTTCAACTGTATCAAAGACTACCTATCGCAAGCCAAGTATGTCATTACCATTCCGCTTCTCAACTCGGTGGTTGTTAGCCGCTTCTTTATTCTGGTCTTGATATTATTTCAATATAACGAGGCCAGTGATAAGTATACTTATTCCTCCAGAACATTATTGTTTCTGACTTCTGGATTTACCGAGATTTACCTTGGTAATCCCACGAAGGTGTACATTTATATCAACTCACTATAAAATCCTGATGAAAAAATTATGCACGAACATGGATGTTTGCTTTTTGATGCGCAATTTATCGAGCATTAGCTCCACGCGTGCAGTGCTGAGGCTTCAGTAAGATGCTCACGTTGTTACGTCCAAGTTTTGCTCCCTACCGTTATTGAAGTACAGTATGTCGATCTATTTGCAATTCACGAAACCAAATTAACAACAGAACCAAACTCCAAAGTTAGGTACCAAAGTCTATTCGCAATTCACAAATTGTCGACAGAAATGTCGTTCTAACAACAATAATTATAATAACTACAAAAACCTTCAATTTTCTAGGTTCCTGGAGCAAAAACTCCCAGTTAGAAAACCAAGACAAACAGAAACCAAAATGTCCGAAAATAATAAATCAAACAAGTTCATAAGTTATATAAAACAAATATACCTAAAAAACAGTGAAATTAATGATATTTATATAAAGGTTCTAATCAGCCAAATGTCTTCATTTCTCCCGTAACACTCCTGACCAAAAGAACCTTGGTTCTTTTCACCGACAAAATTAGGTAACAACAATCCAAGTGTGTGCATCACAAGCAGTCAACAACAAACATGCAATATGTCAATAATCTCGTGATCCCTAGGACTTACACCAGTACGCCTAAGGATCCGAGTAGCTACCTACCATCTGCCGCTTCAAGAAGACACAATTTACGTATATCTTTCACTAGGATCCCCTTTCTCGTCCTCAGTTCTACCTGTCTCACTAGTCTATCCTTACTTGGTATCACTCTCTGTACTAGACCTAAGGGCCACTTGTTTTTCTCAGAGAAGTCAGAACATATCATTATTAAGTCACCCTCTCGTATGTTCCTCTCTAATTGTGTCCATTTGTATCTACGCTGCAACAGCGAAACATATTCCTTAGACCAACGTTTCCAAATTACTTGAGCCAAGTAACTCGCTTGCTTCCATCTCTTAGAATACCTGTCATTAGATAGAGTGTTAGTGAATTCTGCAGCATTCTCTCTCAATAGTAATGGTTTTGCTGGTGTTATTGCATCAAGATCCTTCGAGTCGTCTGTAACGGGAACCAAAGGTCGATTGTTAATTATACGATCCGCCTCTATCATAAAAGTTTCAAGGCATTCATCTGTTAAAAATTGTTCCTTTACAAGAGCACCAAATACCCTACGTACAGAGCGAATCATGCGCTCCCACACTCCTCCCCAATAACTAGCAGCTGGAGGATTGAAATGGCAGTCAATTCCTTTTCTTAGTAAATCAGAGTGCATACGTTCCTGTACCCTACTTTGAAAACATTTTCTTAATTCACGTTCAGCTCCCACCAAATTTGATCCATTATCACTATATATCTCTTTTGGATAACCCCTTCTGCCGACAAATCTCATTATTGCCATGATAAATGAGTCGGTGGTAAAACTATATGCCACCTCCAGATGCACAGCTCTCAACCTTAAACTAGTGAATACACAACCATACCGTTTCTCAGTATTTCTACCATGTTTAACCATAAGGGGTCCAAAATAATCTACCCCAACTGATAAGAACGGATAGTCACCACCTTCTATCCTGATCGCAGGTAATGGTACCATTAGTTGTTGAATGGGATGAGCGTTCATCCTTTTACAATAAACACAATCCTTTATCACTCTACTCATGGCTACACCACCCCTCAGCACCCAAAATCTTTCTCGGACCGTTGCCATTACCTGTGTAGCTCCGACATGTCCCTCCAAAACATGGTAATACCGTAGAATCAAATCTGTAATTGTATGCTTGGATGGTAATATTATAGGATGCTTCCTCGACTCGGACCAGGAACTATTTTGAAGTCGGCCGCTGATACGCAATAATCCGTCTATAATTTATGGATTTGAGGTTCGTAAGGGTGAATTTGTTATTTTCACTTTGCCAATGGTATCAGACGACAACATTTCAATCTCTTTCCGAAATACTATGCTTTGGACACATCGAATTAAATCTAAACATGCTAAATCTAGCTCCTCAACTCTGAGCATACCCACCTGTAGAGACAGATCATTTCTACAAGAATACATTATTGATAAATATTGCTTAAATCGGATCAACCATGCAACAGCCTTAAGTAATCTAGTCCAATCTGAATAATAATTAATAAGTAGATCAACAGTGGATTCTCCGACTATTACTTGCGTGGACATTACCTTCTTTAATTCCAAGAGATGGGGTTCAGGACCTTGTACATCCGCACCAAGCCAATACTCCTTTGACTTCTTCAAAAAATGTGGTTACTCCTCCCATACCTTGACATCATCAATGTTGAACTTGGCTCCTCTGGATGCAAAGTCTGCTATGTTTTCCTTAGAAGGTACGAATCTCGATTGGTACACCTTTGTAAGACTGTGGATAGTCGAAATCCGGTTTGCTATGAATGTTTTAAACTGGCTTTTCTCATTTCTAATATAGTGTAAGACAATCATGGAATCCGTCCAAAACATAACTTCTGCAAACCTAATATCTAACTCGGACTGCAGCTGGGACCCCATACGCGCTGCTAACACTGCTGCCGTAAGTTCCAAGCGGGGTATAGTTTGAATCTTTAAGGGGGTTACTCTTGCCTTAGCCGTAATAAGACGAGAACATATTTCAGTGTCATGGATGTAAGAACGGACTTATGCCACTGACCCATATCCAATTTCCGAGGCGTCACAGAAAATATGAAGTTCCAGGAGCGAGCGATCTGATTGTGAAAATAATACACAGCGTGGAAAACTAACGTTCTCAACCCTCTGAAATTCACTTAAAATCTCTAACCAGCGTTTGCCTTCCTCACTTGGAATCTCTTCATCCCATCCGAGTCCCAATTTACTTAAACTTTGAAGTAACTGCTTCATAGGAAGTATGAATGGTGCTAACAATCCCAAGGGGTCGTATAATGAAGCTACACTCGACAATATACCTCGCCTAGTGAGAGGACATTTCGGTATGCGAACTTTAAATTCAAACGCATTAACCATAGTATTCCAAAATAATCCCAATGTGCGTTCCGTAGGAAGTCTCTCAAAGTCAATCCCTTTTACGGCTTCTGCTCTCTCTTCTGGATGAATTGATTCGAGAACCTGTAAACAGTTACTTATCCACTTGGTAAGCCTGAACCCACCTTTTCTGAGGAGTAAACCAAGGGTTTTTGCAAGCTCGACTGCATACTGCACATTATCAATTGAAGTTAAATAGTCGTCGACATAAAAACTCTTATCTGCAACTTCCTGGACATCTTTATTCAATTCCTTTCCGAATATATCTACCGTCTTCTGAAGAGCGAAATTAGCGCAAAAAGGAGAGGACACGGCTCCAAACGGATGAACTGTCAAACAGTATTCCTTAGCCTTTCGTCCTATATCACCGTCTTACCACCATAACAGTCGAAACGCTCTCCTATCTCGTTTCGGGATCTATACTTGAAGAAACATCTCTTCGATGTCAGCGGCTAATGCTACGTTGCATGATCTGAATCGTAGAAGAATACCAATTAAACTATTTACAGTATTTGGTCCTCTCAAAAGCTGATCATTAAGAGAACAACCTTGATAGACAGCTGCACAATCAAAAACAATTCTTAA